AAACCCTGTGGGCAGATGAGGAGGCTTTTCTGAATTTATTCTGTGCCCCCCAGCTGCGTTCTCTTGGAGGGCCCAGTCCTTACATGAAGTTCCCTAAATAAGCTTAAATGGGCATCCTGTAAAAGAAATAAGCGCCATCGCCCTTCCATTTTCGAGGACAGCGTAGCATACAGCTTGGCTTGCTTTTCTGAGTTGCCTATATGAGTTCCCTCTCGTCGTGTTCCCTTTCATCCCGCTGCCTGCGTTAGGGCACTGAACACTACCTGGGATCTCATGGATGCTTTTGTGAGAGTTCTTGTCAGGGACGGGGTTGGGGGCTACATGCACACACCCCTCCTAGTTTTTCGTGGCCTGGATGTTTCCCCCCACTAAAGCAGGTTCTGAATGAATACATACATACCGCCTTTAGGCATGCAGGTGTTGCGTTCCACTGAGCCGTGAGCCTTTGTTACCTGCCACACACATAGACACACTGTTTGCTGGGGAACACAGGTGAGCATCGGTGCCTTCTTATCCTGCTCGTGGCCTTCCCTGAGGCACCTCTTTCGCCACTGTGGGAACAAAGTCTAGATGACTAGATGGGCGGGCTATAAATGTAATAAAGAAATGAAATAAATAAATGAACGGTGGACCGGAGGTGCCTAATTCACCTCATGGTGGGCGTGTCCCATCATATCACTTGCAACGTTCGGCAGCCCTATGCATGAGCAATCTCCAGCATGTCCTGACACGGACAGGCCCTGCTCAGCTCCTGCAAACTCAAGGCAGTGGCGTCCTTTATTGAGTCAATCCATCATGCATCCGGTCTTCCTCTTCTCCTGCTGTTTTCGACAGCCAGCTCTTCTGTTTCAAGCCGCCTTTCTGCTTCCAGAGCCTCTCATCCACAGAAAGCTTTTGTCCCTTCCAGGCTCCTAAGCTGACAAGAGAGCTCAAAAGGTGTGCTTTGAAAGACTTTATTAAGCCAGGTTGTGTGTGTTGAAGTGACTATGTTTGGAGTCATGGACGCTCGGATCAATCAAAGTGTGTATTTTCAGGCTCCGGTTTCTGTCTGTTCCTCCACTGTCCTCTCTAGGTTCTCGTAATGCAGCAAGTCTGCAGCTAGCCAGAGAAGTTCTAAGAATGCAGCAAAGCTGGAGTTATTGCATAACGGATGCCTGCGGATAACCACTGCTTACTGCAGCTAAGCTGGAGCCATGGTGGAGAGAGTGGGCTGGGGTTTTTAAGGACAGCAACCAGATGCTAATAAGTACAGATGTATCGTTACCTTCCGTCATCCCAAAAGACTATCTGTTTGGGAGGCTACCAGGAATGGGGAAGGTTGTGGGAGAGGCAGTTCCCACAACTGACCGAAACTCTGTAGTTCCTCCTGCTTCTGTGTGTGTCCAAAATCAGTACTGTCTGCATCGTGCCTCACGGAGAGTATTCGGTTTCTTTTAACTGCAGTAAAAACTTCTGCGTCTGCTGAGTAAGGAAAACACACGACGTGAAGCCTGGAATTGAAGAAGCAAAACAGCAAGGAACCATCATAAGAGAGGATAAGGCGATGGCAATGCCTCATTTGCCTGGATCTGGGGAAAAAGCTTTTTGCACCCCAAAATTTAGCCACGCTCACTAACAGGTTCTGGGAGTCACTGTTCAAGAAAGTAACTGCAGTTGTTTCTGTTTTATTGTTACATCCGAAACAGGATTTTTTTTCTCTCTCTCCTGGCGGAGCAGTTGTGTGTGTTTCATGCTTTTTAAATTGAAATCCTGGTCGTTGAGACGTACCGTTCCGTTTTGATCAGCGCCATGCACTGAGAGATAAATTCCTTTCACCCTCCACAACGGAATTCGTATTTTTCTTGTAGTGCTGAAGGTCAGCGTAGTTAAATTTTTAATAGAGCTAATTCACACGCCTGCATCAAGTGCAGGTCTAGTGTAGAGAGATAATTGCTGCTATCATCCGTGAACAATTCAAACGATAATAAATGAACAAAAAGAAAAGGAAGCGCTATTATTTGCTGTTGTAACAAAATCTTGGCTGCCTAGTGAGCCCTTGCAGTTCTTACCTGAATTAAAACAAATACAGTAATTGTAAGATAAGAACCTGAAGGGCGAATCACACTCGTTTAGAGGTGTTTATTGTAATTAAGTGGCATCAAGTCAAAACCACTTTCTAAGGGCCCGAACGGGCCTTTCATGGTGAACTATTTAAGGAGTAGTGATGTGTGGAAGTGAGAGCTGGACCATAAAGAAGGCTGACCGCTGAAGAATTGATGCTTTTGAATTGTGGTGCTGGAGGAGACTCTCGAGAGTCCCCTGAATTGCAAGGAGAACAAACCTATCCGTTCTTAAGGAAATCAACCCTGAGTGCTCACTGGAAGGACAGATCCTGAAGCTGAGGCTCCAATCCGTTGGCCATCTCATGAGAAGAGAAGACTCAATGGAAAAGACCCTCATGTTGGGAAAGTGCGAATGCAAGAGGAGAAGGGGACGACAGAGGATGAGATGGCTGGACAGGGTCATCGAAGCGACCAACATGAATTTGACCCAACTCTGGGAGGCAGTGGAAGACAGGAGGGCCTGGCGTGCTCTGGTCCATGGGGTCACGAAGAGTTGGACACGACTGAATGACTAAACAACAACAACATTTAAAGAGTGGTTTCGCCAGTTCCACACCATCTCCCTCAATAAGTTTCCATGGTTAAATGGGGATTCGAACTCTGTTCTCCAGAATCCTCGTCTGCCACCATCTACTCCACCACACTGGGTACCCCAAGTTGTTTTTGTTATTATGTGCCATTAAGTCAGGACAGACCTATAGTGACCCTAATAGGGTTTTCAAGGTAAGAGAGGTCTTTAAGGAGTGGCTTTACCAGTTCCATTCCCTCAGTGAATTTCCCTAGCTGAGCAAGGATTTGAACGCAGGCCTCCTGAATTCTAGTCCAACACCCTGTTCACTACACCACACTGGGTGATTGGGCACCATCGTACGGCGTGCATTTTGGTCGTATCTCCATAGCAAGAAGCAAGTGATCACCAACTCAACAGGGTGTGCTTGGGTGGCGTTTGGGGTGAGCGATTCCATGGGAAACCTGTAGATTATACATGAAGAACATGCATAAGCAAGAAAGCTAGAGTGGTATAATAGTTATCTTAAAATACTTATATATTTCATGATGGCCCGGGACAGCCCAGAGAAAAGAAGCAATTTAAAATAATTTAGAACCGTTTGAAGCAGGCAAAGCAATTTTAGAAATGATGTGCTTTAAGACCGACACCATCTGCCAAACCCTGATTCGGAGACCTCACCCTGTCCCCTCCGCCCGCAGGGCTCGGATAGTTGGAATGTCAGCCTAGGAGTGGATAGCCCTGGGTTCGAATGTGCCCACAGCCACGAAGAGCACTGCTTAAGCGTGTCCTGGTTCTTCTCCCTCTCTCAGCCTGGCCTACCTCACAGGGATGACGTGAGGCTGCGTTTGGGCAGAGAATCAAGCAGGCCATCTGGAGCAATGTGGAAGAAAGACAGGCCAAAGTGTAAATGCTGTCTTGATGAGAGCTGTAAAAACTTACTTTCCGTGTTGGCTGGAAGATTCTGGGAGTTGTAGTCCAGGGGAAAGTAACATTTCCACCCGCTGGTGTTTGACTGGCCCACCTGCTGAAGAAAGATGACGTTGGTTGGTCCCTACCAGCAGATTCATCAACCTTTTTTTTTTTTTACTTTCAGATCCTGGAGTGGGAGGACCAGCAGCTCAATCAGTTTGTCAACTTCAACAACTGCAAGATTGATCCTGCCCCCTTCCAGCTAGTAGAACGCACTTCTTTGCACAAGGTGTGTGTTTGTGTTTGTGTTTGTGTGTATGATGGTGCAGGTAGGGGATATAAACTGGGTCAAATTAGGACTGTGATTTTTTCCCCAGCTCCACGCCCATTAAAAGTTTGCTATGCAGAATTCAGCACCCTCAATCCCTTAGCTCTCCTCTTTTTCTTTTTAAAAACCAAGTTTCTAGCTCTCATGGAAATGAAAGAGGCTTCAAACTCTACCAGCGATGTCTGGCAAAATCACAGAAGTCCAACGAAGCTTGGCCCAGGTGTGACTTTGTAGCTCTCTGCCTCCCTTTTCTTCATGCAAAACATTACAGAATAGATGCAAAGCCTTTAATTTGTCTAACGAGTAGTGGAGCTGTGCATGTTTGTCGGCTTGGACTACATCTCCCAGACTCCTTCAGGCAGCCCTGGGAATGATAGCCCAAAATTCCACAACTCCTGAAGACCCACGTTGCTGCTGCTCTGGTTTGTTAATGCAGACTATGCGCGGTCCCAACACACAGCTGGTTCCAAATTCGAGAGGCCGTATGTGGGCAAAAGTATGGGAGTAATAAATTCGTTAGAACAAGTGCGCATTATGATAGCCACCCACCTGCGTCTCCCACGTAAGAGCCAAAAATGCAGTCTGGTGGATTGATTCATAGCAACCGATGAGTCGTGGTTCTTTTTTTTTTTGCTTCTGCCAAGAGCGGGTCTTTTATAAAGCCAATACCTCTTAATGGCCCCTGCAAGACCAAGCCACATTTAAATGTGGGACAACTTGCAACAATACCCTGGAAAGACCACCTTTGTCCCTAGCGGCTATGAGGATGGGAGCGAAGGTCAAAGAGAACAGGAAAAACCGTGGGTGGGGGGGTGGCCGTTGATGTCCTACCTCTGGTAGTCAGAAGTCCCAGCATTTCAACCCTGGTCCCATTACACCACTGCAGGAGAAGAGGGAGCAGTCTCCTCCTTTTGACTTAGGAATGGTGGACTCTCTTCCGCCTGCTGAGAGGGTCCAGTAGAGCAGTGGTCCCCAACTTTGGGCCTCCAGATGTTCTTAGACTACAGCTCCCAGAAGCCTTCACCACCACCTCTGCTGGCCAGGATTTCTGGGAGTTGAAGTCCAAGAACGTCTGGAGGCCCAAGGTTGGAGACCACTGTAGTAGAGCACTGGTTCTTAACCTTGGGTTACTCAGGAGTTTTGGACTGCAACTCCCAGAAGCCTTCACTACCAACTGTGCTAGCTGGGGTTTCTGGGAGTTGCAGTTCAAAAACATCCGAGTAATAAAGGTTAAGAACCACTGCAGTAGAGCTATAGGTGCAGAGATCTTGGGAACTATACTTATGAAGCCCCCAAACAGCTTTGTGAGACTGCTCGGAGGGGTAAAGATCATTCGGGGAGGCCTTTCCCTACCCGCCTGACGTCCATTTTTAAGGAGAAAGACGGGGGAAAATGTTTTAAATAAATCATTGCTTTCTTGCCTCCAGACGCACACCATCTTCTCCCTCCTGGGTGTGGACCACGCCTACGTCACCAGCATCGGGCGCCTGATTGGCATGGTGTCCCTCAAGGAGGTAGGTGACCCTGAGCCATGGGGGAAGGCCTGGGAACGCGGGGGGGGGCGGGGGTCACCTCGCCATTCTTGTCTCAGGAGAGAGGAACTGGTTGAGAATCATTCTGAGTTGCCTGACTCTTGTTCTTCCTTAACCTTGGTGTTTGTAATAACTGGGATGGAGCAAAACCTTGGAGCCGTTCCTTGGTGGACCACAGTGCCCAAGAACCTGGGGAGCAAATTCTGAACGTGGAAGACCCTAAAAGGAACGTTTTTCAGACTCTAGAAGAAAGACATCATGGAGCCCAGAGTCCTTTGTTTTCCTCTTGCCCCTCGTTTAACCATGGGGCCCAGTAACGAACCTGACTATGGGATGAGGTCCAGGATGAGATGAGGTCTCCTGCCTTGGGCAGAGGGTTAGACTAGAAGACCTCCAAGGTCCCTTTCCAACCCTACAGCGATTCTATGATTCTCTCTTGTATGCTGTAAAAGGGCCAGGTAGGCTGAGATAATGTAAGAAAGAAAAGAAGGAAGAAAGGATGCTCAGGGCAGGAATCCGAGTCAACGCAGATCTGAGAGAGGGTTGTCCATTTTTCTGTTGAAGGCCTTCTCTGGAATGCTCACCACCTGCCACGGGTAATGGGTGCCACAGTCGTACTGCTCTAACAGTTTAAAAGTTGTGGTTTTTTTCCTCCATGTTGGAAGTAAACTAGGCCTCTGGAACTGCTGGCATAAGGCATAATGTTAGAGGGCATGCAGTAATGGGCTCAAGCTACTGAAAGCCAAATTTGGGAGACTCTTTTCCCTCTCGTGCCATACCAGGACCACTCCACTCCCATGGAATGTTGGGAGAGGGAGAACAGACCAAAGAAAAGATTTCTTGACCCAGCTTGGTGTTAGTCTGTGGAACTCCTTGCCACAGGATGTGGTGATGGCATCTGGCCTAGAGGCTTTTAAAAGGGGATTGGACAGAGTCCTGGACGAAAAACCCATCGCAGGTGACAAGCCAGGATGGGGATGTATATAATCTCCTGGCTTAGAAGGAAGGGTCCTCCAAATGCCAGATGCAGGGGAGAGGGATCAGGAGAAAGGTATCTCGTGGTCTCATGGGCTCCCAGAGGCATCTGGTGGGGCCACGGTGAGATCCAGGGAGCTGGACGAGAGGGGCCCTTGGCCTGATCCAGCCGGGCTTTTCTTACGTTCTTATGTAGGGTGACTATCAGGAAGACCTTCTTAACTCTTAGAGACGTACGACAGTGGAACCCATTTCCTTGGGAAGCAGTGAACCCTTCAACACGGGGGGCATTCAAGAGGAAATTGGACAATCAGATAAGGTATCCTGTTTGGAGCCTCGTCAGACTTATGCCATCATCTGGTTTGTCTATTGGTTATTTGGGGGTTATTATTAATTATTTCTCTATTTTGTTAATTATTTCACTGATTCTGTGTTTCTTATTCTCATGTTATATTATATTTTTTGGCCTTTTGTTTGATTCTAACCTGCCCAGGGTAGTGTCCGGCACTCATCGGGTGGTATACATGTCTATGAAATAAATAAGTGGAGTGGAGTATTTATGGCTGTGAGATGGGCTTTTGTCTTTTTCTGTAGATGGGTGATTAGTGTGTCTTGTTGTGGGTGTATTGTTGTGATAAGGAGAAGAGATTATCTGTCACTGTGGTTGATGGGTGTCATTACCTGTCCTTGTGGCTGGGGAGAGGTCGTTGACCTTTTGCACGCTGTATTTTTGTGAACTGGGAGCCAAATTTTGATGAGTTTCAAACTTTCCTCTTTTTTTGTTGAAGTTCTGCTGGTGCTTGTGGAGTTCAATGGCTTCCCTGTGCAGTCTGACGTAATGATTGCTGGTGTTGTCCAGTATTTCAGTATTTTGAAATAGAATTTCATGTCCAGTTTGTTTCAGGGCATGTTCAGCTACTGCAGATTTTTCTGGTTGTTTTAGTCTGCTAGGTCTCTCTTGTTCTTTGATTCTGGTGTGGATGCTTCGTTTTGTGGTTCCAATTGACTTGATGGCGCATGAAAAAGAAAAGACAGCGACTGCCCTAAAGCCAAGCAGTGGTCTTTGTAGCCCACTGGGAAGTGGAACAGGGATCTCCCGCAGCTCAGTCTGCTCTAGCTGCTATCCCACGCTGCCTCTCAGTTAGTCTTACCAGGTCAAAGGCTGATTCCCCTTCTCTTTTTTTTCTCTCTTTCCTCCAGTTGCGGAAAGCCATCGAGGGCTCCGTGACCGCCAAGGGCGTCAAGGTCCGGCCTCCGCTGGCCAGCTTCCGGGACAGCACCACCAGCAGTAGCGAGACAGAGGCCACGGAGATCCACCAGCTGTGGGACCGGCGCCACCGGCACTCCATTCCGCGCGAGTCCAGCCCTTCGGAGAGTGACGACAAGTGCCAGTGAGGTCTGAGGGTCTCCCGCTGACCCGCCAGAGGGTCATGCCTGCTTCGTTCCAGCTGAATCCTCCTGCGGCTGAAGGTCTTTCTTTGACTTTCCGGTCAAGAGACTCCAGGAAGGCCGCCAGGCCAGACCAGAGAGCCGCCTCAAGGCTCGGAGGAACCGAGAGCAGGACCGCTCCCCAGTATAAAACTGCAGGCCTGCCTCCTATCCTCCTGCTCCAGCGGGGTGGAGAGTGCCGAACAGACTCCAGTGGACGAGGTGGGGAGGCCCCCCACCCCACTGCGGCCCACGTCTCCGGAGGGCGTTGACGTCCTGGAACGAATGAGCACAATCCTCTTGCATCCTTAAAGCCAAAGCCACCCCCAGTCTCCAGACTCGGATCTGGTTTTCCCAGCAGCCCCTCGAACCCTTGTCCTGCCTCTTGGGGTCTGCACAGGGCTTTCCCGGCCGAGCCCCGTCCAGCTTCTCCGGTAGCCTTTCCTCTGCCTGGTGCCGGAGGCCCATCGGAGGAGAACAAAGCCGTCCGTCCGAAAGAGGGAGGACTGGAAGGGGAAAATCTATGAAATGGCTTCGGGATTGTTTGTTTTGTGTTGTTTTTAATCTCTTCTAATCATCTCTGCACAGCCCGGCCCAGAACTCAGAACCGTTCGTCCTGCTGTGGGGGCTGCCACGTGTCGCGGCCGTGCAAGATGGCGCGTGATGCTGGGAGCGGTCGTTCCCAAAGGGAACCTCTTCCTGGATGTCGTGGCTGTGGGGCCACATTCTAGCACAACATTCCCCAAACGGGCGCACTCCTGAAGCCACAGACAACAACACTCATCATCCCCAGTAGGCACAGTGGTTGGAGGCTCGTGGTTGAGCACCTGCCAGGGGCATCAAGCGGCCCTGGCCCCTCCGTCTTTCCATGGCCATCACTCTCTCTTCTCTGACCCTGTGATCCGTCTGTATTCCATTCGGGCTTTGTGGCCGTCTAGCTTAGAAGGGTTTCTGCTTGATAACAGAGAGGGCTTCCCCCCCACCTCTCTTTTTCTCTCCCCCTTTTGATTAGTAAGTGTCTCTGAGGACCCAATAAGGCGAACACTGGATCTCTCGCTCCCCTGAGCCCTGGGGAGCCCCTTTCTCGTCCTGCTTCCCCCCCCCCCAAAAAAAAGACTCTGATCTGGAACCCTTTCCCTCCTCTCTCTCTTGAATCTAGGGATGGGAAGAGAAACGGGGAGGGGGGGCTGAGATGTAAATACAGATGTTTTTATATTAATTTAATTTTTAAAAAGAGAGATTAAAAATAGAGTTGTAAAGGAAACCAGCTCTTGAGTGTTTGGTGTCCAACAAATCCCATAATACCGCTGAGGCCGTGTGCTATTTTTGCATGAGGCCAAACAGCGCTCGTGAGGCTGGGGGGCAAGCACACATGGAGGGGGCAGAGGGGGGTTTCGAGGCTAAGGAATGGGCTAAATTTCACAGCATCCAATGAAAGAAAGTTCTGGTTTTATAGCATCTGGCTCTAGGTTTTTTATAGTGGGGGTGAGGAAGGAGTACAGTCAAAGGTCGACGTGGGGTATTCATTCCATGGGCCCCAGCTCTGCTGGGTCTCCTTTCCTCAGTTCGGAGCTTGGAAGCAATCAGTTTAAAATACAGCTGTGCCTCGCTAGACGATGATAATCCGTTCCACTGAAATCGCTGGTTAGCAAATCATTGTCTAGCATTTCCCCATTGGAATGCATTGAAACCTGTTTGATGCATTCCAATGGGGAAGAATCGTCATTGTCTAGCGAAGATTGGCCATAGGAGCCGTTTTGCAATCCACCGATCAGCTGTTCAAATCGCTGTCTTGCAAAGCTCAGGTCCCAAAAACACCTGTTTTGCGAGCGCGGAGGGAGCTGTCAAAATCGTCGTCTAGCGAAAATCAGTTTGCGAAGCAGGGACCAAATATTTTCTAGCGAAATTTCCCCATAGGAATCACTGTTTTGCGAATCACTATAGCAATAGCAAAAAGTCAATGTCTAGCGAAAAAACTGTCATGCGGGGTAACTGTCTAGCGAGGCACCACTGTAACTAGTTACTTGAAAACCATTCCTTTTCGTGCAACCACTAAGATGCTAGTTACATCAGAGTGAGCCAAGTGCAGGCCACCTGTGCCCCCCTCCAGCATGCGACAACCCCAGTACCCAAACCACAATTTTTTTAATTAAAAAAGGCCTTTTAAATCTCATTGTGCCCTCCAGGGAAGCCACGATTGCTGTATTTTAGGATTGTTTGGGCCTCCACATGTTTTACCACTAGAGGGCGAAAAGGGGCATTTTTGGTAAAAGCATTCCCCCCCCCAAAGAAAAATATTTTGCCAGCGTGGATGGGGTGTGGGATAAAGGATGTGGCTGTGCAGAAATGATCCGGAGCAGTCCTCTTAAGATGAAAGACGTGATAGCGGAACAACTGAAAATGGGCTTTTAAGAAAACACGTAGTACTGTACGGTGTTTGTCTCAGTTCTGCGCTCGTAGCCTGGCATCAAAGACTCCCAACACCAGCTACTGTAAAGAAAAAGAAAAAAGACATGTCTGAATCCTTGGATCAGGAGGGTGACCAGCGAAGATGTATTAAAGCAAATGGCCAAAGCCCATTGACTCATAAAACAGATTCAATGCAGAATGCTCGAATACGGCAGACCCGTTCCTGATGGACACGCCGCGAAGCTTGGAGGTTGGAAGCCTTCCCCCCCCCCCCCCCCGTCGTTGAACACCTGCGGATCAAACAGCCTCTAAACCTGGGGGAGTCAAGACAGACATGTCAAAGGCCACCTCACGAGGCATGCCAAAGGCACCGGTTGCCTTAGTATGCCTGCACGCATGCCTTCGCTCGTTTAAGCATTTGTTCATTTATTCCAATGAGGAATTGGAATAATTGCTGCGCCATCCGGCGTAATTCAGAGGCTGACTCAGGACTTGATAAGGTACCCTGTTTTTTTCCTTAAGAAATTCCAGCTCCTTTCCCCCCTCTGAGCCATGGGCATTAAGAAGGTGATCTTGGGTGAATCTCTTTCTGCCTGGCCTACCTCACAGGACTGTTGTGAGGATTCATGGTGGCGGCAGGGGAGGAGGGAAAGCCCCATGGATTGCACTGAGCTTGTTGGAATCAAGGCTGGATAGAAATGGAGTCGGTCATCCCATTGCAAGTACTCAAGTTGATCTGGAAGTCCCAGAAGCCTGACATGACATGGATGGGGAGCTCAGTACAGCAGGACCCCTTCATGGGGGGATCGGTTCCAACCCCCCAACTCCGGATGCTGAAAAACACAATTTTAATAGCAACTGCTATACATAGCATGGTCTCTGTCTCCCTCTAAAGGCTGGTTCTGGTAATGACAAGAGCTCCCTCTAGTGGCCAGTTCTGGTAGCTTCATGGTTTAAAAATACTGGGATTTTTCTTTTTAATATTTTTCACACTGTGGAAAAGTGAATCAGTGGATACCGATCCTATGGATAAAGGGGTCCTACTGCTGTCCTTTGCCTCAGGCAGCAAAATGGCTTGGGCTTTCCCTTGATGTCTTTGCATTTAACAAGCAGGACTTTTTAAGGCATCAGCTAGGGGAGGGAGCAATTATTGGGCGGGTGCCCACCAGGCCTGAGGAATCGAGATCTTGCTTTGCGTTTTGCATCATCTCGGTCCTGATGGGTCCTTAGGCTGGTTGCACTGCAGGGGTGGGCAGAGTGCAGCCCTCTAGAGGTTACTGGACTACAAAACCCATCTGCCCTAGCCAGGACAGCCCATGGTGAGGCATTCGGGATGCTGCAATTCCCATGGCAGCAAGGCTGTGCCTTGCTGACCCCCCGCTGTATCATGGGCACAACAGGGGATGGCAATACATTATGTGTGAACCGCCCCTCGCACCTCGAGAAGAGCAGGTGGGGCTCAGCTGTTCCCCTTTAATAGCCCGGCTCAGCTGCTGTTCAGGCTCAGGCACTCTCTTTCCCCTTCCCCTCAACCCAGGCTGGGAGAAGATGCTTCTCGGTGTCATCTCTTCACTGACACAGATGATGAACCTCTGCCTCGGGCTCTAGCTGGCCTCGTAACCCCACACAGCAGCGTCCGCCAGGGTAGACTCAGCAGGCGGGCCGGCCAACCTGCTGGAAGGCTCGCGACCTTCTGACTCCGGGGCCGGAGGCTCCCACACTGTCTGCCGCTTTGTCAGGGGTGACTTTGCTGCGTACGGAGGGCGCGGGAGGAGTGCAGAAAAACGAGAAGGCAGAGAGAGAGAGGTGGGAACTTAATGGGAGAGCCTGCACCATCAAATCGATGCCCGCCTTGGGTTGGCACAGTGGCTCGGAATGTACCCTCTTGGGCTACCATTCCCAAAACGGGGACCTCCATCGCCTGGTGTGTAGTAAGGCTGGGCAAAGTCACATTTTTTTCTCTTCCTAGAGAATCAAGTGTGCTAGGATGGAGCCTCCCGACAGAGCCAGGCCAGCTGCCCATCTCGTCCGCTTAAGGGCAGGGCATGGATGGAGAGGCCCTTGTCCTCAGGGTGAGGCTGAGAGTTGGGAGAGCCGCCCCCAGTACAAATCACCCACCACTACCTGGCTGAACATAGCCAGCTTCATGGCCCTCTTGTCACCCCCCGTAAGGCAGCTGCTTCTTTGCCGTTGCTCCATTGATGGAATCCAGCCCTTGGAGGAAATAAGATGTTGCCCCCCCCTCCATGTATTCCTCCCTCTCCTCTACCCCCCCCCTCCCTGCAGGGACAGTGATGGGGGAAATGCTATTCTTCCCGCCATGGAAGGCAGGAGAATTCGATAACGGTTCCCAAAGCAATAGAAAGAGCTTGTCTTTCAACCCATTAGATGTTGCACAGCAAAGAGTTGTTTCATTGCAAGGGAGGAAGGGGACAAAAGTCCAAATTCGTTAGACCCAAGCTTTGCAGGGCTGCCAAAGGGACAAGGGGGTCCTCATCAAATCAAACCTGAACTCTCTCCAGAGGCAAAACGTTGAAACCGAGGCTGTCATACTTTTGAGCCCATCAGGAGAAGGCAGGATTCCCTGGAAAAGACAATCATGCAGGGAGAGGTGGAAGGCAGCAGGAAAAGAGGAAAACCCAATACGAAATGGACCGATTCCCTAAAGGAAGCCACAAACCTGAATCTATAGTATAGTTGAGCAGGGCTATTGAGGACGGGACGTTTTTGAGATGGCTGATTCATAGGGTTGCATAAGACGGAAGGGACGTGATGGCAGACGACAGCAACAAAAATCGATGCTGGATTTTGCTTTCCCTTCCGTGGGTCATTGCACCCGATCAATCTTGATGGGCATCCACCCATTCTGGTCCCAGACTTGCCTAGCTGCTAGTCTTACAGGTAATAGGATGATGGAAGCTGTCATCTGCAACCTGGCGCTCTTCCCGACTCTGCAAATCCCCATGTCTGGGTTATCTCAAGGACTGCTGTCGGCCTTCACTGTGCTTTTTAAGTTGTCCAGAGGGATTCCCACCTGCTCACCCATCACAGAGGCCTTGGAGGACAGACCCCCCAGGAGGAACCAGCCTTCACTCCTTACTGAAAACTTCCTTCCCTCCAGCATCGAAGCAGCCTCTCATGCCCGGATCTTCCTGTTCTCTCTTTCCAGCTTGACATCCTTTCTGCCTTCCCCATTTTTTTGGCAAAATGCCCCCCTCCTGGTCTGAGCTGGCCTTCCGGGAGGAGCTGCGTGCTGAAAATGCTGAGCCAGGAATCCTGGGGATGGGAACAGAGGCGGGTGTGTGTGTGGGGGGGGAGGACGGAAATCAAGCTAGAAGAGAGTGGAGAGATGTAATGAGCAGCTGGCATCTGCAGGAGCGAAGGCAGAGGCAACAGAGCCAGAACGCGCAGCAACCCCTGTGCCAAAAATCACAAAGATCCTTTGGGAGTGGGGAGAAAGAAAGATTTCCAAAGGGAGATCTGATCAGTTGCAGTGCATAATAATGCATCAATGCAATATACGTAATGCAAAATTATACACAGGCATACTTTCAGATATGGGCAGAGCTTAGAAAACTTCCTTTAAAAAAAAAATACCAATTCCCCTAATTTCCTTGGTCACATTGATTGGGGAATACTGGGAGTAAAGGCTGTTAGCTTCCCAGGGCAAAGCTATTTGTTTATTTGATGTCTTTCTATAATGCTTTTAACATGTTTTTTTTTAAGTACAGTGGTTTACAATATTCCCCTGTTACAGGAAACAAAGAAATGTTATTGCTTAATAAAAGCCAAGAAAGCACCATACAGTAGAACCAAGGGATACAGCGGGTTTTAAAATAGGGGCATCATGATAAAGTGATCAAACATTTCGTTGTATTTTTTTTTCCATGTGTGCAGGGATGTGCAAGGTAATGTTTAATATTGAACAAAGGCTAACTTTTGAAATAATAATAATAATAATAATAATAGAACAGCAAAGCTTGGGAGGGAGTCTGTGGATCACTGAGTCCAGTCCCTATCAGGGAGGCCCAGTGGGGAATCGAACTCCCAACTTCTAGCTCCGGAGCCAGAGACCTAAACCATTGAGCTATCCAGCAAAATGTCAGGTCAATTCTGATTGGTGACCCTTTTGAGCGTTTCCCAGGTAGAGATTGCACAGAAGTGCTTTACCCTTCCTTTCCTCTGGGGGGGCACCCTGGAACTGTGTAGCTTGCCCAAGGCCACCCAAACTGGAGGCACAGCGCAGAATCGAACCCCCAGCCTCTGGCTCCACAGACAGAGACCTTACGCACTGAACTATCCAGCTTGCTATTTTTTAACTAAAGAAGTACTGAAATACCTGGTAATCAGGATTTTTTGTGTGTGTGGACGGAGTCTTCTGTATCATCCTGAGAATTCCTTGGCTTTTGCTGAGAGGGTGTCGTTGGTCCGGGTTCACGTCGTTGGGCATTAGTCAATCTCGACATCCCAGCCAGGGCTCTCGGGTGGCTTTCAGTGGCTCCCAACCTTGGGTCCCCCCGATGTTCTTGGACTACAACTCCCAGAAATCCTGGCCAGCCGAGCTAGTGTTGAAGGCTTCTGGGAGTTTTTGTAACAATAACATCTGGGGACCCAAGGTTGGGAACCACTGCTCTTAAGGGTGGCCACACGAGAAGGGAGAGGAGCTTGAACGCTGAAGGGTTTCAGGCAAGAGGATACGTATCCTGGGGTTTTGTTTCTGTGATAAGCTACGGCGGCCAGCAATTCTTCTTCCACAGAACCATTAAAGGGGTTGTGTGTGTTTTTTTTTTTGCGGAGGGTGGTAACCTTGGGCAGCTGGGGAGGACAGTAGATTTTTGACCCCAGTTCCTGCCAAGGTCCATACCATGCCTCAAAATGGCCATTTCGGGCCATCTTAGAAAACATTGTTTGCTCAACTGCCGGATAGCTCAATGGCTTCCATCTGTGGCTGCAGGCTAAGAGTTCAATTCTTCTTCGGTGCTTTCTTGACAGAGGCTGGACTTGGTCCCTTCCAGCTCTACAGTTCTAAGAGGATGAGAGGATGATGAAAAAGAAACCCTATGTGTTTTGCTGAAGAATAAGCCCCTGAGCTTTTCTTGTCTTTGTGTTTCCAGAGAAACAGGACTCACGTATTCCTCTCAGTGGGCTTTGCTAGAGTTTACGGGATCCTCCGTGTGATTTCTGATACATCCAGCCCATTAATCTTGTGGCTCATTAAAGAAAAAAATGGGGCCAGCCTAGTTTCCTGTGGGAGGGAGTCCCAAAGTCTGAGAGCAGCGGCAGAGAAGGCCCTCTCCCATGTTTCCATCAAGTGTGCCTCTGAATCAAAGCAAAGATTAAAAACTATCTTAACTTTTAAAAGGCATTCAGGGACTGGTCATGATTGTTCAAAGCCTGCCTGAAAAGGTGGGTCTCCTTCAGCTGTCAGTGGAAGGACAAAAGGGAGGGAGCCCCGCCTGATCTCTCGACCGACAGCATTCCACCGCCTGGGAGCTGCCACGGAGAAGGCTCTGCCCTGTGTCCCCATCAGCTGGCAATGGGACCGAGAGAAGGGCCTCTGCTGAGGATCTGAAATACCAAGAAGGCCCAAAATTGGACTTCCCCTTTATGTTTGATAGATATCCATCTACCCTGTTGGGAGAAAAAAGTTCTGGAGAACTCAAAAATGGTACATATTTATTTATTTATTTGCATTTGTTAATCCTGTTTTTTTTTTTAAAAAAAAAAAAAGCATCCACCACCTGTGGATTCTGGAGGCCGTTTTGAGCCCGTCCAAAGCAATGCTGGAAGTGGGGCAGGATCAGCTCCCCCCACCCACCCCCGCTTCGCTGGCCATGGCAAGGGAGGCCATTTAGAGCTTGACTTCTGAACGATAAAGGGGAGGAGGTGCCAGGAGCTGACGTCGGGCCGTGATGATTAACTGTCCCGAGTCGTTCAGGGAGCAACTGACAGACAGGGGATCCATGTCTGTCGGAAGTTGGCACTTGTGGGTGAAGGTGTTAGAGACGGTGCCATCTTCCGCCACCTGCAGGGGGAGAAAACACACCCGGATAAGCATTTTTCGCAAATCAGTTCCTCTGGGTTTCTTATCTGGAACTCAAACAGTCAATCAGGAAAAACGTTGGACTACGATGCCCATCATTGGTTACTATTGGCTATGCCGGAAAGTGCTGAGGGGAGGTGTAGCCAAAACATTCCTCTCCACCCTGATGTCACATCTACACTGGCCAAAACCAGGGTAGGAGACCCTGCTGTTGTCCAGATGTTGACACATTATAACTCTCCGACGGGAGAGACAACTTCCTGCACTCCTTCTTCCTCTCAGTTTAGGCTGGCTTAACCCACTGAGATGCCTAGAGAAGGCGAAGGAGATTGCATGCCTCCAGTATGAGAGCAAGACAACACGCACTCCCCGTTACCATCATCATGCTTTTAGCAATTTGCACAAAATGCGTGTGGGGCAATCTACCCCAAACCATGTCCTTTTCCATAAAAAAGCAAAGCACACACACACAGAAGAGAGAGAGACAGAGAGGACAAGCATGAAAGACTTGTCTGTTTCTTTAAAAACATTCAATGCTTCAGGGTTTCCCCCCCCCTTAAAATCCAGAAAAGAAACCCCTTGAATTGATCGCTCTAAAGAACATCTCCCTCTTTCTGAAGGGAAGGAAGAAAGCACCTGTTGTGGCTGAAGGAAGCCAGAATGATCTTCCATCGCCACTTCCAGCATCTCAAAGGCTCCTGTCCACCCTTGGGTTAGAAAGGTGGCTTAGGTGATGATTTGTTTTTTTAAATAGATTGCTGTCCTTGGAATGCAAACCAAAGCAAAGGCGTTGGAGTCTTCACGGGCGGACGAAACCTCGTCTGGCCCAAGGCATTCCGCTGCCCGAGGCAAAGGACCAAAATAGAAACTCCCCCATTTCACCTAAACGGGGCAGGCCTGATGGCAGCTGGAGGTTCCTTCACAGTGGCATCGGAAGACAATCTTTCCACCAGATGTGAAGTCAGCAAATACACTTAGGAGGTACCACACACACTATGTAGCACTTGCAGTTGTGTACTCCAGCACTAATGGGACCGTTGCCATCAGCACCCCGGGCTCTGCAGTGGTCCTCTAGTCTAGAGCACCCCGTTTCCTAGCCTTTTTTTGGCCATGGCCATCAACGGCACATGAAAGAAATATAGGCCAAATCAAGAATGTGTAAGTCACGTAACAAACCTTATAAGGTGGTGAGTGAAGAATTATTTCCAGTCTGTGCCCTCCCTCAAAGATGCCGCCCCCACTCCCCAGGGGTGGGGGTCCTATAGCCCTGGCTGCTCTTGAGTCTGAGGGACGGCAATTTTACACGAGGAGTGAAACCGCTCCAAGTTTTAGTCCGAACTTGACTGCGTCGTACACAAGGTGCTGCTCCCCCTATTCCCGCAAGATTGACTTTAAAGTCTGGATTGAAATCAAGAGCAGGCTCTCCCCGCAGCAAAAAAAGAGAGTCACCACTTCTCCGGTTGCCCTACCGATGCCTCAGTATGCCTCGTGGTAGGGCCGGTCTTCTTGAAACCATCATTTGTGAAGGCTTTTCGTTGAATCTCCAGATTCAGCGGCTTCTCTGCTACAAATTATTCCCATTTTGAAGCTGCTTGCCTTTAGAAAAACAAGCGATGGGAGTTCATGACCAGCGACCTCACGTGTCCCTTTTGCAGGGCATGCGTTTTAGGCATTAGAAGGAAGAGATCCGTTAAATCTCATGGAAAAAAAGGAGATGCAGCCCTGTTTCCAGCAGGTGAAATGTGTTCCCTCCCCCCTCCTCCTCTCCGAATTAGTTTGCCATGCTTGTTCCCTGTCCTCACCTTTTCCGCCTGGATGACGATGCAGTAATTGAACGTGGTCACCACGATGTCTGGTGGCTCAAACTGGCTGACATCAGCCACGACCTGGTACTTGTCCCCACTGGCAATCACGTTGCTGCTGCCCAGCGTAGACGGATGCACCGATGGGGGAGAACCTGTGAGGCAGGCAGGGGACCAAGCAGGGAGTGGAAGGGTAAAGGCAGGCCTTCGGACATTATATTTTTAAAAAAATAAGCCATTCATTGCTGTTGGTGCCTGGCTGGCTAGCTCAGTGGTTTAGGTCTCTGTCTGCGGAGCCAGCGGTTGGGAGTTTGATTCCCCACTTGTGCCTCCTGGGAGTAGAGTTAGCCTGGGTAGCCTTGGGCAAGCTGTACAGGGTGCCCAGGGCTCCCCCTAGAGGAAGGCAATGGTAAAGCACTTCTCTGGAAAAATCTGAAAAAGGGTCACCATAAGTCAGAATTGACTTGACAGCACATAATAACATAATCATCTTAGAAACTGCAGAGCTGGAAGGGACCCGGTGAATCATCACGTCCAGTCCCTGTCAAGGAGACATCGTGGGGAATTGAACTTCCAACCTCCAGCTGCACAGCCTAGACGTCTAAACCACTCAGCCATCCATAATTATTATTATTATAATCCCAAGACTTAGAAAACAGAACTAGTTAGTCACCATTACAGCTGTCATTTTTAAAAGTAGCTCTTCACTTTCCTTACAAAACCTGCAAAAAAAAATCTTGTAGCGCCTTAAAGACTGAAAAGGTTTCTTCGACAGCTGCTTCCTTGCATCTCATGCTTCTGACGAAGTTGGATACAGACCACTACCAAAACATGATGCCAGATTGTTGTTCTTTAGTCATTAAGTTGACTAAACAACAAAAAGTCGTTAAGTTGTGTCCGACTCTTCGTGCCCCCATGGACCAGAGCACGCCAGGCCCTCCTGGCTTCCACTGCCTCCCAGAGTTGGGTCAAATTCATGATGGTCGCTTCAATGACCCTGTCCAACCATCTCGTCCTCCGTCGTCCCCTTCTCCTCTTGCCTTCACACTTTCCCAACATCAGGGCCTTTTCCAGGGAATCTTCTCTTCTCATGAGATGGCCAAAGTATGGGAGCCTCAGCTTCAGGATCTGTCCTTCCAATGAGCACTCAGGGCTGATTTCCTTCAGAATGGATAGATTTGATCTCCTTGCAGTCCAGAGTCTCCTCCAGCACCACAATTCAAAAGCATCAATTCTTCGGCAGTCAGCTTTCTTTATGGTCCAGCTCTCACTTCCACACATCGCTACTGGAAAAACCATAGCTTTGACTATGCGGACCTTTGTCGGCAAGGTGATGCCTCAGCTTTTTAAGATACTGTCTAGGTTTGATGCCAGATAAAACTAGCTTAATCTTCAAGGCACAACAAGTGATGTTTGTTTTTGTTTGTTTTTGCTGAAACAGATGACACACTAGCACTGTCGTTCCAGTTAGCTATACAAAAGTATCTCCAGTGGTTACTTTTTAGTTATTTTGGACATGTCTAAATATTAGAAGTCTCTGTCTTATGGCAGAAAACATACAGCTAGGGAATTCCGGGAGCTGCAGTCCAGAAAGTAACATTTCCAAGATTTGCTGACAACACAGCAGCAAAAAAATGCCCAAGGACCAGTTCTTGCTGGTTTTCTCGTTGTGAGAAAACACCCCCTTAAATTATAAAATTAATATTTAGAAGTTTCTATTAGAACTGCACAAAAAAAAAATCACATTATTCCATGTTAAGTTCCCAACATAATACGGCTGATTATGCCTTTGACAGGGGGAAAAGCCATTCACAACAAGTCATTTTCAATTTGTTAGAAGCTACAGTATTTCCAAGGAAGGCTGCATCTCAGAGTTTGAACCGGAAGGAGAGAGGACAGATGTAAAGGAAGTAAGGCTTTAAAAAGAGGGAGAATGTGGCCAGCTGTATTTTGGCTTTCTCTTGTGTTTGACCAAGAATGCCTTGGAGGCACAGGGCGCCTGGGAGATGGCTCCAGGTTTCTGTGGTTTCGAATTCATGGAGGAGGGAGAGGTGAGAGCTGTCAAGGGTTATCCATTTGGGCCGAGAGAAAAGGGCAGCTTGTCCAAAGGCACTGAGCCCCATCAGTCTGAATTCTGAGCATCACCCCATAGATCGTCCATTTCACCACCACCACCACCACCCTGATGCAATGTGGCCTGGGGGTGGAGTTACATCCCCCTCCTTCACCGACTGAGTCTCTGTCTTGTTTTCTGATTCAGTTTCATTATGTAGTCTTAGGATGCGACAACACACACACAGAGAGAAATGCAAATGGATCCACAGTGAAGTTGCACCCAGGAAGTCTGGCTTCCCCTGCTAAACTGGCTTTGGTCAATCACACAGGAGTCAGTGGACGGAGAGAAGGAAATTGGCCTTGTTTGCAGCTTGTTAACTGTTTTGAGTCCTCTCCTCCCTACAGCTGGTGCCTGGGTCTGCTTGTTTCCCCTTTCTTCTCTTCCTGTTTAGTTTTGCCCCCATTTTTTTCTTTTAAAGGACAGTTAGGAGACCAACGGGCAGGGGGGGGAGCAAGGAAAGGACAGAGACAGGGGAAGTTGCTTCACCTTCTGCCTTGTTTCCAGCTTGTTAAGGTAGCTCTACTCTGTTCTGGTCATCCCGAGTTGCAGGAGTCAGAGTAGAACTATCTTAAAACTTCCTCCCCCCTCTCTCTGCAAATCCTCCCTCTCTTTTTTTTCTTTCTTCAACCAGCTGCCCTAGTGCCAGATTAGCAAGCCTTTGGAAGGGAGGGAGGGAAGGGAAGGGATGGGGAAGGGAAGGGAAAGATGGTAGCCGATCCTGGTGGCAGATGTGTGGAGCAGAAGATGCAAACAGCAGCCAGTTTCCCCACTGCTCTGCCTCTCTGGCTACTGCTGAGGCTGGCTGGAACTGCTTGAAAAACAATAGATTCAAACCTATTTAAATTGGCCCAAGTGATCACACCATCTGAATGGATGTGAAGATATTTGATTCCAAAAAAGTAGAAGCCGTAGCCGATCCCAGTGGCAGATGTGTGGAGCAGAAGATGCAAACAGCAGCCAGTTTCCCCACTGCTCTGCCTCTCTCGCTACTGCTGAGGCTGGCTGGAACTGCTTGAAAAACAATAGATTCAAACCTATTTAAATTGGCCCAAGTGATCACACCATCTGAATGGATGTGAAGATATTTGATTCCAAAAAAGTAGAAGCCCCAGAAATAGAGGACAAAACGTATGAATTGAGTTGTGGCCGAAGGAGTGGATGGGACTCCAGACGGATTTGCATTGACTTTCATGTCAGGTAGCCACTGGAAAATGTGGATCAGACCATCCCAATCCTGGATCATTTCTCGGGTTATTTGTCAATGTAGTCACACCCTTGAATGTGAGTGAAAGCAGAGCATGTCACTTCTCCAGAGAAAATAGCAGCTTTGGGGAGGGGCATGCATGCAGTTTCAAGCCATGTTACTAACATTTAGAGAATTAAGGAAAGGCAATTAACTCTCCTTCTCCCCCACCCCATGTTGGGAGTGGATCTACTATGAAACTAATGAAGCTTAAGCTTCAGGGGCCCTAATCCCAAAGGGGACCCAGAAATGACTTTAGCCCATATTTTTTAAAAAAATTAATGTGGTGATCCGTTGTGAAGCAATCCCATTGAAGGTCATAGTGATTACCCAGACCTTGCTGCTGATTGCAAGGGGGGCCCCCATAACAATTCAAGATTCAGGGCCCCCAAAATGTAGGTTGGCCACTGCCCCCATGCTGTACCAGGCCATTAGGGGGGAACTTTGTTGGGTCAGATTTGGACACTTGATGGCCAGATTACACTCGAGGGACAAAAATCCCCCTCAATCCAGGATGTATATGAAAACCTTGTTTAAAAAAACGCTTTTATCTCAATCCAGTGGCATCCATTTTGCAGGGCTGTCACTACCTTTAGGCAGAATAAGGCAACTGCGTCTGGGAGCAGGTGCTCAGGGCGGCAGCATGATGGGAGTTGTAGTTCAACAGAAAACAGTCTCAGGACTGTTACATTTTGAGTAAGTTTCAACCCAGTATCTTTCAGAGGTGTAAGATTGTGATTCTCTTAGGGCTGCAGGATGGGGAAAACCTCTGGGTAGTGAACATAGTTGAGTACTCTTTGTCAGGCTGGCCAAGCAACACAATGAAGTTGCATTTTACAATTTTCTTATAGCTGCCAAAAAATTATAACACTCCCCCAAGCCAAAATAAAAGCAAAGTCCTGAGGCTGCCCTTCACTTGCCTCCCATTTTCTAATTCCCAAAGTGTACATGTTGGTGAAGTAGCTTATAGGTGACGTTCAGCCATATTCCATTCACTAGATTTAAGGATTCAAAGGCTGAATGTTGTGACATCACTGGGGCATGTCCCTTAAGCATCAGTTGCAGAAATGTGCATGCATGCACATACCAGAATATAGTGAAGAGGCTCATTCTAAGGCCCGGATGTGAATCACAGCAGTCCTAGCAGAAACAAATCTAGAGTATGCAAAGTAATAATAATAAAAAAAAACCAGGGTACTTTTGCACACACTGAAGCTCTGAGCATGAAACCCAACATCTACGACTGCCGTCAGCCCATTGCCTGAGGCTTGACGTTCAAAGCCTGGAACCTCTAGAAAAGGGACTTTAACATCAGAGTCTCGGGGCCCAAACCTTCGAATAGCAGGTACGATATTCCCATGTGCGATTTGCATTGAAGCTAAGGGCCCCCCAGCTGAGGACCTCACGCCATTATTATTTTTGAAATTGCATTTATTCCTACTTCTCTGCAATTGTTTTTTTTTCCATGAAACTGTTTAGTCCCTTAAACACAACGGCAACTTAGAACCTCAGACGGCAGCTAATTTCTAGCATGGCTCACTCACCTGAGTATCCGTAGGACTCTCGGGCCCTCCCGGGACCAAAGATGCCATGGGGAGGGTCCAGCAGGGGTTCAAAACAGGCTTTTCCACTGGGACTGTAGGTGCTGTAACGTTCGGAGCGAAAGGTGGAGGACGAACTGACGGATGACGACATGACCCCAGCGATGGTGGCAGGAGCCGTCTGTAGGGACTGTGCTCCGTGTGCTGGACGGGAAGGGATGAGACGGGGGAGGGGGTGGACGGAAAGGGCTTGTCGTTGGCCAGCAAAGCCGAGATGTCCATACTTGGTTTAGTCGTTGTGCCCTCTCGGCGTCCCGTACACTGGAATGCGAGATAAGGCGTCTGCAACCATTCTCGGTGGCTGGCAGTAAAAGCTGGGAGGGGGTAGAGATGTCTCGCTCCCACCTTCGATTCTGCTCCTTAGTCACTTGCATGTAAGACTGGATAACCATAGCCTCCCCCATCATCACTACCTCAGGGCACAGAGACTCCATCCATAAACAGCCCAGGCTCCAGCTATAGGGAATATAGTTAGCATATCAACACAATCATAGCTGCCCTAAGTGATGCAAGACACGGCCAAAGAGCCCGAAAAACAACAGAGACTCCATCCATAAACAGCCCTATGAACCCGATCATCTGGTCTTCCCAGGCTCCAGATATAGGGAATATGGTTAGCATATGAACACAATCATAGCTGCCCTAAGTGACGCAAGACACGGCCAAAGAGCCCGAAAAACCCAGAACAACCATTAGATCCCGGCCGTGAAAGCCTTCGTGAATATATTGACGCAAGACAACTTCTTTATCCTAGCTGAAGCTCACCTCATGCCATGTGTTGCAAATTCGCTGGCATTTGTTTTAAAATGGACCATCAGGAGGTATGTTTGGGCTTCATTAGCCTATCGAATTGCTCAAGCATGGAGCTTGGAAGAAATTACTGATCTAGAGGGAAAATGTAAAAGCAGGAAAAATGTATTTCTCTGAATATGTAATTTCACAGAGAGAGAGAGAGAGAGTTAGTATGAATGAAACAGGATGCAATTGGTTATTAGTGCTTGAAGCTCTCCGTACATGCTCTTGCTCACCCTTGCAACACTTCCAATGCAGTTATTAGTACTGTTTATTCCCGTTGTGTATGGAGCGGGATGGAAGAGATGGATGGTGGTTTTGGCCTTTGTGTTGGTTCATCAGGATGGAAGTTGCTTTCTGGACTTGGCCGTACGAATTATGGGAATCCTAAACCAAAAAAGAGAGAGAGGTTAATGACACCTTATAGATTAGCAAGTATTATTCAGCGTAATCTTATAGGGACTGCAATCTACATGTTCAAGTGCATGAGGAAGTGAGGTTGCAGTCCACAAAAGAGGGTGGCCAATAAATCTTGTTTTTCTTTAAGGTGCTCCAAAACTGTTGATGGGTTCTTGCTGGCACAGATTAAAAAGCCCTGGGAATTAGTCCAAGAAAAATAATTTTGGGTTACTCTGGGTGAGGGCTTCCTGCTTTGCTTGTTTAAATGCTTCTGTGTGACAGCAATAGCAACGCGGAGAACTGCAGTCTCAAACCCCCTCAATAGCAACCCTTCCCTTCTTTCCACACATAAACTCTCTCTCTCTCTGAAGGCCAATCAAAAAAGTCCAGTTCTCCAGAACGGAAAGCACATGGTTTGAAGAGGGAATTTCTTAAATGGTGAAAGCCAGTGACATTACAGGCACCGTGTCCTTCCAGCTGAAATGTTTCTAGTTTATTACAATCTCCCATGCTGCCTGTAGTTTGTTTGGCTGGGAAGGAGCTTTCTGGGTGGTTGGGGGAGCTGTCAATTTATCCGCCACTAACCAATTGTTCCTTCCCACCCCAGAGAGCCCCACCTCTCTGCTGGGTGTTCTCTTTCCCTCCGTTTCGTCTGTTGGAACTCAGTAGTTCTCTGTTTGCTTTTGATCTATCGGCCACCAAAAAATTTTGTAAAAAAAAATAAAAATAAAAATCAGTCTTTCTCCTACAAATCTCACAGAGTGAGTGACTGAGACTTTAAAACTAATCTGTAAGTCTTGTCCTGCGTTCCTACCAAGGAAGCTCCTAAACGACAGACATCTGCTCCCTTCATTGAACATCTTGCCTCCTCTAGAGCCATTTGGTCCCTGAGGTCTTCTGGCAAAACACTTCTGGTGGTTTAATGTATTTCTAATGTGGCTCTCCACTGTTATTCAGAGCAGGGCATCTGGTGGGCTGGCACCCATTAAGTGAAATACGCTCCTTTCCCTCGGCGGTGGAGGTTTTAAAGGGTTTTTTTGTAGGATTTCCTGGTACAGTCCAGCCTGTCATGCATCTTAAGAGCCTTGGATTTACAAGTGTGTAAATCCCCCTTTTGGGGGTCACTAATTCATAGGGTGGCCACCAGACAGAAGTGATTTGACAGCATAGAACCGCTACATCAGCGTGCAACTTACACAAAACATATACAGTATTATGATGGCTGTGAATGGTTTTCTATTGCATGTTTTCAGATTGTTGTACACCATTCATTCATTCATTCATTCATTCATTTACATGCTGCCCCATTAGTGCCCAAACTTGCAGATGTCAGTTGTTTATAGACATTGGTATATAGACAAAACAAAGTTGTAACTTGTAAATGCCATTAAAGGTTTCAGAACAGACAAAACAATGCTGGGGCTTCCTGGAAATCCAAGGAAGGTCTCCAGCGACCGACACAGTCTTGGTCAGCATCCGTCCCTTAAGAGTCATGGGTCCTGCCTGGGGCCCTCAGCGGCCACGCAAGACAACACCAAGACCCAGCAAGCCTGCGGTAGGTCCCGGCATGAAGTGAGCATATCCAACAGCTGGAATCCTCTAGAATGGGGTGGGCAACTTAAGGCTCTCCAGATGTAACGGGGCCGCAACTCACAGCTGCGTTGGTTAGGGTTGGTCGGACTTCCAGCCTCAAGAAATGCATTTTGTCCATCTCTGCACTAGAACAGGGGCTCCCAACCTTGGGAACTCAGATGTTCAACATGGTTCGTTTTGCAGCCAAACAGCCGAATCTGCCGAAGAGCCTCCTGGTGCAGGGGTTAAAGTGCAGGACTGCAGCCGAGACTCAGCTCGCAACCCAGGGTTCAATCCCAGGCAGCCGGCTCAAGGTTCACTCAGCCTTCTATCCTTCTGAGGTTGGAAAGATAGAGCTGACTGTGGGGGCAGGCAATGTGTAGCCTGCATAATTAACTTGAAAACTGCCCAGAGAGTGCTTTCAGCATTATGGGGCGGTATATAAGCGGCGCCCTTTTGGATCTCTGGCCCCTCTCGAGTGCATCCATTTTGTGTCGTTGCCCTGCCCCGCCTCCCCCAGGCGCTGCCTCCGAGCGGTTGCCTGCCGGAGGGGGGGCCGGGGCACTGAACCAAAGAGCAGCCTTGTGTCCCGGAAACAAACCGTGCAGAGCCACCAAAACCCGCAGTTCTTGACCCTCTCTAGTGGGGACCCAAGACTGAGAACCATTGACCTCTAGAACATCGATGAGGTTCAGCCATCGACTGAGGAGCTGATCAAAGACGGGCAAAAGAACCGGACAACCAGTGATTTGTGATGGTTTGTAGTTCGAGGCGACCCACGAACCTCCACGAACCCCTGGAAAAAAACGAACGGGTTGGTGGTTCGTTTTTCCGGTACATGTCTGGAGGGAGCCTATGTACCTGCTCTTGCCACACCCACCGCTTCTGCCTCGGGTCGCAATCCTGCTCAGAGAAAACAGGAGGATCCTGGCAAGGAAGCTGTGCCCCTGCTTCTGAGACTGTGCCTGCCACCCAATGCCTCTGCCTCATGGCACGGAAGCTGGGCCATTGCCTCTGAGGAGGGCACCTATGGGGGCACAGTAGAGGCCTCCATGGTGGCAGAAGCAGGAAGGTGTAGGCAATGGGGGGCAGCAGGAAGGGGTGGGTGGGCAGGCATCCCCTTTTGCCCAATTCAACGAAACACCCAATGGGAAACCGTTTGGCATTTTGCTTTGGCGAAACAGGATCCCCAAACGGGGTGTGGCATTTTTCCGCAACAGGGTCGCCAAACGGGGTGTGTGTGTGTGTGTGTGTGTGTGTGTGTGAAATGAACTCCAATCCAGCCTGATTCATCGGGGGTGTTTTGGGGGTGTGTGGTTCATTTCATGCACATCTCTGGAGCTGATCTAAGGAGGGGATTTGCGGCCATCATTCAGGGCAGGAGGGCCACGAGGATGAGCTTAGAAGAGTTGCTGAGTTTGAACGACAATTTCCAGAATCCACACACACACACACCCAGCTCGTGTTGGAGGATTCTGGGGGTTGTCGTCCAGCCGATCCCCCAAAGCAAAATATCTGGGAGTCAGCAAAAAAAGCCGGCGGGAGAAGAGAAGAGGCAGAAAAGAAACGCCAACCCGGTCAGGTAGAACCAGCCTTTTTAATGCATTACAGATACAAACAGAACGAAACAGACACTTGCACCAGCCAGGGGCCTACACCGGGGCGGGGGGCAGGAGGGCCAAAGGAAGGGTGCACAGAAACGAGATTTGGCATTTTTCTTGAGCGGGGGGGAAGAGTGCAGGTCCAGGAGCCAAGTGGGGAGGGGGGGGAAATGCATTGGCTTGAGGGTACAGCTCCGAGCAGGCATAGCTAAGGGGTCGAGCAGGTGGCGAGAAGGGGAGGCTCCACAGAGATTAGTTTGGGACGTGTGTGTGTCTGTGTCTCTCTCTGTGTGCGCGCTACAGTTCCACCGAATGGACTGGCATTGCACAGTGTGCGGCCGATGATTCGGGCATCTGGAGGGAGCAGCAGGAACTTTCCCAGTGTCCAGGACAGTGGATCCTTGACCCGAACTTGGTTCTCGTTTTTCTCCACCTCTCCCTACAGCAAAGGAGGGCCAACATGTCCATCCCCTCCATCGGCCTTCCTCCCTCCATCTCCCTAAAACAGCCCTCAGATTTTCACGGTCACCCTGTAAGCTGGTGCTATAAAGCGCTGACTAGAAGGACTTAGGATCATGGCGTCCCGACCCCCAAGCTTCTCATCCTCCCTCTGCTTTTTTTTCCCCCTTTTAAATTAAGATCTTGCTTAAGGAACAGCCGTAAAAGGAACCTCAACCGCTCCTGCACTGTTTTAAAGTCTTTTCTGGGCGGTGCAGTAAAACAGTCCGCCCGAGATGGGTTTCATTTCTCATAAGCTAACATCACACGGGTTTTGACCAGGCAGGCGTGTGGCTCACCGCTTGCCCTCTCGCGTCTCCTTCCCGTCCGTGTCAAATTTCTGTGCCAAATCTGTGCCAGATTTCAGGCCACAGACTCCGGGTTTGTTTGGGCTGCCATGCACAATCAGCGCTGAGAACTAACATGGGGGCTCACGGATGACACCAACACAGTCAAAGCCTCTCTAAACTTGTGCTAGAGACCCAAGGTGCTAAGACGAGACTTTCCACAACTCTTTGGCTCTCTTCCAGCTGCAAACCAGGACATGGGGCAGGTTCTTTCTCCAATACCGGCTTGTGCGCCTGCTTCTGCGGGTTTTGTACATGCATGCACGCTGCGGGTGATGAACTGAAAGCATTCCAGTCTGTGTCGATGACGTTCAGCACACAGCAGGCATCTCGCTAGCGTCTTTCCACAAAACCACGCCCTCCCGATGTTCCAGTCTACAGCTCCCATAAGGCCTGACCATTACCCTTGCTGGCTGGTACTCATAGGAGTTGTAGTCCGAAGCATGGGGCGGCCACTGGACCAGGGAAAGCTGCAGCAATGCCCTTACACGTGTGTGTGTTTGTACATATACACAGAGTGGAGAGAACAGTTCCCTTTGTAGGCACTGTTATTTCCCAGGAATATTTTTTTCAGTGACTGCCTTTTGACGCAACTGACCTATGGCAGTCAGATGCAGCCTGAGAAAGCAGGGCTCCTCCAAGGGTGTCCCTAAGAATTAGTGGTGGATGGGGGGGGCTGCTACACCTCCTTAACTTGTTTGCACAAATTCGTGCACAACATTACAACTTAGCTCCAACAGCCGTTCTGTTCTATTTTGGTGACTACGTGTGTGGGAATCGACGTGTGATTAAATATACAGTGGTGCCTCGCTTAATGAGCACACCGTTTAACGACGAATCCGCATAGTGATGTCACTTTGCAATCGCATTGTGACGTTTAGATAGGCACAAATCTTCGCATTGCAATGTTTTTACAACAGCTGATCAGCGGTTCCAAAATCGCCGCCGAGTGCCCAAAATGGCCACCGCAAGTGTTTTCGCGCCCTGCCCTCGCTTACCGAGGGCACGAAAATGACGGCGCTATGGAGGAACTTAGCTGAACGGTGAGTTTGGACCCCATAGGAACGCATTAAACTAAGTTTAATGCGTTCCTATGGGGTTTTTCGATCCATTTAGCAATGTTTTTGCATAGTGACGATTAATCCGGAACGGATTAACGTCGCTATGCGGGGCACCACTGTACCTGTGTGTGCATGCATGTAACCGAGTGTGCAGATGCAGGATCAGTACAGGGGTGTAAGACAACAGTAAGTCCCTGCTTGCATCTTTATTTCCTCCTCGGGAGGCAAGGATACACAGGATGTATTAAACCTTTGGGGATTTAAAACTTCAGCGACTCTTTCTCCTCCGAGACTCTCATTAGAGGAGGGGGCTCATGATCTTCTCTACGGCACCTGGACAGAACTACAACCCCCACGATCCTTTGGGAGGAGTCGCAACGGTCCAGCTGGTGTTAAACTTGCGTTTGCCCAGTCCGTGCACTGAAATCCTACAGCCCACCAAGTTGTTTTTTTGACTTTTCTGGGCCTGCCCTTGCATCCTCCCGGGGTGCAAGTGACCCCTTCCCTTTGGGAGCCGTGGGGGGGGAGAGGGAGGGGGAGAGAGAGGCCGAGAGATCCTCTGCGGGGGGGGCAAGTTCTAGGACGAAAGGATGGGTGAAGTGAACGTCACAGTATTTCCCACCCTGACTGGCCAGGGTGAGAGCATGAAGCGGCGGGAAAGAAACCCCATAGAAAACCCGTCCACAGTAAAGTGGGGGGAAGCAACAAGGGCCTTCCCCCACCCCCCATGAAGACGGCAACACGGAGACGCACATACAAAAATATAGAAAAGATATGGGGCAGGGTGGGAGGACTGGGCTTTCCCACCGGCCCGTGCCATGCTCCCTGCTTTCTCCCACGAGAGAGTGGGGAGCAGAGGAACACATCAATGCGTGCATGCGCGCACGCACACACACACACAAACACACACACACACACACACACACACACACACACAAAAAACTCCCTCGCCTTTCTTCCATGGTGTCCACAATACAAAAATTCAAGTCAGTAAAAGCCGAGAAGTTGTCCATTGGTGCCGGTGTGGGTTATTTTTTCTCTCTCTCTCATTTTTTTTTGTACAAAAAAAGGCATAACAAACCAAGCATCCATTGCATTCCACATTCCGACGACGCAGCTCTTCATCACGAGCTGCAGGAGGCGTTTGGAAAGGCGAAAAGGGGGGGGATTTATGTACATATCGTTTTCGATTGAGAGAGAGTTGTATTATCCCAAGAATCGCAACCGTTCTGCGGGAAGAGGGTTTAGCCATGCCACTTGGCCAGCATCCGACGTGCGTCTTCTCTCGAGAGTGTGCAGCATGCTCCGAACCAGCCCGGAGAGAGCAGGGCATCCAGACGGCGCTGGCCCGCTTTCGTTATCTTGCGTGGTTATTCCCCCCCACCCTACCCACCCAGCCCCCAAGACATTCCCATGCAAAGAAAACAAAACAGGCCACGAGAGAGAGAGAGAGAGAAAATGCAGCAGGCAAAAATCCACGAAGCCACGCAAGAGGCTCTTCAGGCTTAAATGGCTGGATTCAATGGCATCGTGGAGGCCGGGAAGACCTCGGGAGGAAGGAAGACCTTCCTCTGCCCGACCTAGAGTTTACACCCCCCTCCCTGGAGGGCTGGGGAGGGGCAAAGGAGAAAGGACCATTCCTCCCAGAGAACGGATGGGCCATGTGCTCGGGTGGAGGATGAATGCCACGGCGCGTGGGACACAATGGCAGGTGAAGCATGCCACGGACGGGGCCAGATTCAGTGCTCTCCGGCCTCCTCCTCCTCTTCCGCTTGCTGTTTCTCCTCCGCCTCTGCCTCGTCCTCTTCGTTGTCCTCCAGAGAGACCACGCCGGAGGAGGCCACGTCAGATACTTTCCTCCGGACCTGGCCGTGGCTCTCCTCCTGGATCCTGTAGTCCTTGCAGGTGACCCCTTCTTCCTCCATGGGCGACAAGCAGGATTCGGTGAAGGACATGGAGTACATGGAGTCCTGGCACTCCAGCTGGGCCAGGCTCCGGAAGGCACATTCTCCGGCGGTCTGGGGAGGCAGTTTGGCGAGGAGGGCCTCCTCCGCGCCGGAGAGGGAGCCCAACAGCTTGGCAGTCAGTTCCGAAGGCGAGGCCAGCTCCTTCAGGAGGAGGCTGTCCTCCAGGCTGCAGAGGCTGGAGCATAAAGTCTCCGGGGAGATGGTGGCCTGGGAGGACTCGCTCTCAGGATCGCAGGAGCCTTGCCGGGCATTCAGCTGGCACAAACGGCTGTGCAGAAGTCCTTTCAGCAGGGCGCTGGGCGGGAGCTGGGTCACAGCCTCTGCAACACAGCAAAGGTGGGAGAGGGGGGTTAGTAGCTTGGCGGCCCCAAGCATTGGTTCCCAACCCACAGGACATGAAACCTAACACCTCCCACTATCAAAGCACACAAGGAGTTTAGGTAGGATGCGGTAAAACCCTCCCACCTTCCCCGCGGATGCCGAAAAATGTGGATTGTCATGAAGGCCATTTTAAACTGGCCACTAGATGGCGCCAGAGACCCATGCTAGGTAATACCAAATGTTATACCTAACATGGGTCTCTGGCGCCTTCTAGTGGCCACTTCTAGTAACTTCAACTTTAGAAATATACATGTCTAGGGGTTTTCTTTGAATATTTTTAATATTTTCAGGCCGTGGATAAGTGAATCAGAGGGAGGATACTGATCCCACAGATATGGTGGCCTTACTGTATATGGGTCTCATGACAATTACTTGGAAACTCCCCCATCCTCATGTTTGATTGATTGATTGATTGATTTATATACCACTAATGTCCATACCACTCCGGGCAGTTTCAAGTTTCAACTTAAAAATCTCACAGGCCCCACAAACGACAAGATGGTGACTTAAAAAAAATCACATGAAAAAGAAGAAAGAGAACAAGAAAAGGATAAAATATTAATATTAACAGCATCTGGGGGACTCAGCTGTTGAAAGCAGTTTTGAATACTTCTGTTTCCTGGACATAAAGAGGGTAAGAGTTTGGCATCTCTCTGTTGGTAACCCTTTCCAGCAACAGGGGCCACCACAGAGAAAGCCCAGTTCCTGGACCATTTAAACGCACATGAGCTGTTCATAAGCAGCAGCATCGTAGGGCCCGTCTGCCATTTATCTTGCAAATCCTTTTTGGAGCAGAGGCTGAGTTTACACACACAGCAGGAGGAAGTGGCAGAATAGGTCCCACTCTGAATAGTAGATGGGAGATCTCTCAGTTTTTTAATACTCTCCCAGGTTTGAAACACCTGCACACAGAAAACTAGTACTGCAGGGTGATCACTACCCAGTTAGAACTCTACCCAGCCACAAGGACCGGTGATCACTGCACACAAAAGACCAGCTAACGACAGCCACCAATCACAGTGACAGATCATCTCTCCCCCTTATCACAACAATACACCCACAACAAAAAACACCCTGATCACCATAATCGCCCAGTCTCCTGAAAAGGACAAAAAGCTGATCCCACAGCTATAAATAGTCAACTATCCCACAGACTGCACCAAAGCACAGACAGAGTTCTGACTCCTGTCCTCTGAAGATGCCAGCCACAGAGACTGGCGAAACATTAGGAAGAACATCCAAACCTACAACAAACAAAGAAATGTTTATTTATGTATTCTTACCCTGGATGGAATAAGCACTTAAGCAAAAGAACTGAGACCTTATTTGCTTTAAATACAGTAAGGTCAAGCAGACAGCCAAACTGGTGTTGTGGAAAGAGCACAGGACAAGAACTCAAGAGAACTCGGTTCAAATCCATACTCACTCACAATAATTCACTTAGGAGTGGTAACAGTGGTTTAAAAAAGACACTGCTTAAATATTTGAAGTCTCTTGGAAGTGCTATAATGGTCGGATGTAAACTGACACTACAGGTGGATCACCACATCCACAAGGAATCCATTGCAGGCTCTCCCCACAGATGTGAAAAAACATAGATAACAGCACACCCATGGTCTATGGTTCCCTCTAGTGGCACGTCCTGGTAATTACATCATGGAAATATGTATTTCTGGGTTTGTTTGTTTTTATATTCTTTTTTATTTTCAGACTGCAGATAAGTAAAACTGCAAATACTGATCCCACCGATGCGGAGGTCCTACTGTACACAAAACAACAACAAGGACAAGTTATAGTAAATTAAGGGCAAAGTATGGAAAAAATGGAAATTTAATTCCCATGGCTACACTCCTTAAAAGATGATGGCACCCACAGTCCAAAAATATAACTTTCCCAAGCACTACACATGACAGAGGTGCCAGCAGTCCTTGTTCAGGAGAACAGGGGTGTTATAAACATGTCCATGTTTTCATCCTGTGAAGGTTTTAGATCTTTGGAAGAAAGCTCTGGCTAAAGACAGTACAATCAACCCCCCCTCCCCATTTGGAAGGCATTTTGGATGACAGTAAGGGTTTGAAAATATTTGTCTACAGCCCCATTGCTGACAGTCCCTTTGAGAACACGAGGAATGGCAAACACTGAGTTTGCAGTCTTCTTGTGGGTGGACTAGCCTTCCTTCCGGATCGGAAGTGTTGCTTTCAGGTACAGATGAGCACAAATTAGTCTGTCCCAGTTCCTAAAGGTAGTGGCACAGGTGCTACTTCTCCCCTCCCCTGCCTCCTCAGCCGATCCCCTCCTCCCCTGCCTCCTCAGCTGATCAACCACTCACCATGTCCAGCTTGCTTGCTTTTTTCCCTGCATCTTCGGCTAATCTCCCAGTCGGGAGCAAGAGCACAGCCTTCTCAGCCCCGCCCTTTTCTCTGATTGGGAGATCAGCTGAGAGGATGGGGCAAAGAAGCCCAAGCTCCTGCTGGGACTGGAGGATCAGTTGAGGAGGGGCAAGAAGATAGCACGCTGGGCCTGGGGAGGGGCTGATGGAGCCAGAGGAGGTGGGGGAGGAGATCAACAGCAACTTTACAAACTAGGATGAACTGGGATGAACTGGCTTGTGCCCATCTTAACTTTCCGGTAAACATGACTCTACAACTTCCTTCAGATTTAGCCAGAATAGGCCCTTGTGAAAGATTCTAGGAGTCGCCGGCCAAAAACATCCAGAGACCCCTGGTTCTAGACTCTGTTCTCAAGCCCATCCATGTGAATTATGGCTGTGTGCGTCAGATCCTGAAAGCCTTTTGATGTCTTTTTGTTCTGAACACAATACACACCTCTCTCTCTCTCTCAAATTAGCAGGGTTTTACGCTAATCCCCCTCGCTGGTGGGCGCACTGCTCTTTCTCCCATGGCTACAAGCCCTCCGCCCCGGGTGATGTTCACCACGCCCGGAGAGAAGGTAGCATATTCCCCTACACACTGCCTCCTCCCTATTGCCCACTCTTTCTAATTATACAGAGGACTAATTAGAACTTTCCTTAGATGCTGCACCGGCAGATTACCACTTTCTTTGATTACTTTCTTTGATATGCAAATGTTCTGGTTTTCGTCGGCAGTTAATTGTAGGGGGGAGAGAGCGAGCTTTTGTTTGCCCAGAAGGACGCAGATTGCATGCTTCGTCAAGACACGTGTGCGCCAGCTGCCGGGTGTGGGCGGGTGTTCTCTTAGTGGGTGCAAGAGGCTTCCGCAGCCCAATTATCCTTCATGCTAAGGGCAAACTGGCAACTATGGGAAAGAACAGAGAGATCTGTGGCCCAAGACTCAATTTTTGTGGGGAACAGACTGGTCCCTCTCTATCCTGTCTTGCAAAAGAGGTTGCCGCAACCTGTAGCTGGAGGGTTGGGGGGTTAATAGAAGGAACATCTTTGTACTAGGGATGGACACAAACTGTACTACGAACCGGGGAGGGGAAATCATGAACTAGGCTGGTTTGTGGTTTGGTTCGTAGTTCGATTCGTCCAGCCTGTTTTGCTGAAACAAAACACATAATTTTTCCCCACTCAGCGCTTTGTCAAAACAGATGCCTGCCCGCCCCTTTCTGCTGCCTTTGTTGCCCTCACCCCAACCCTTGGTCCTGCCTCTTTCTTCTCAGCTGACAGGTATGTACATGCGCAGAGTCAGCAGGCTCAGCTCCTGGAAGAGAAGCTGCCCCGCTGTCTATGAAGGTGGCGATTCGTTCTTCCAAGAAGTTGGGGTGGTTCGTGATTCAGTGGTTCATGGGAAGCCATGAATCATGAACCATCATGGACCACCGGGTTAGACAATAGTGGGTTGGCTGTGGGAGGAAGTTTTCAATTTTTCTTATATGTTTATAAGTGATGCAGTGCACCAGTGATTCATTAACATAGTATAAAATTTCTATGGAGGGGCAGAAGAAGTGTTTAATTTCCCAATATCCCGAGGTGGCTGTCTTCTTAATGACATGGGAAATTTAAACTGATAGTGTACAGCTTGCTTTGGTTTGTTTCCAGAGAGCACATGCACTGGAAATGAACCAAAATGAAGCAATCCTACACACACCAAAAGAATAGAAGCTAGAGATGGGCATGAACTGCTGGTTTGGTGGTTCGTTTCTCGGCTGAACAAGTATTCGGTGCTTTAAAGCCCCACCTCCTCGGGTGGGTGCCCACTCAAAGGCAGAGGCCTGGCTTCTCTGCCCCACCCTCCAGAGGAGGCGGGGCTTTGAAGTGCGAAACGCCTGTTCAAATGAGAAACAAACCAGCATGAACAGAAGCTAGAGATGGGTATGAACTGCTGGTTTGGTGGTTCGTTTCTCGGCTGAACAAGTATTCGGTGCTTTAAAGCCCCACCTCCTCGGGTGGGTGCCCACTCAAAGGCAGAGGCCTGGCTTCTCTGCCCCACCCTCCAGAGGAGGCGGGGCTTTGAAGTGCGAAACGCCTGTTCAAATGAGAAACAAACCAGCATGAACCTCTGAACTATCACGTTGTGTCGATCTTTAGTAGAAACCCTGACAGGCATCCAATGAGGTGTGAGTAGCAACACTTGGGGGGGGGGTCTGGTTCACTCTAGCAAAGATGTCATATGACCACCAGCTTTAGGAATGGACCAACCCATTCCAGCAGCAGACTAAACATCAGGCCAAATAATCGTGTAGTCACCCTCCATGAACCACCACATTTTGCTGCCAGCATGGCTGCTTGGTTGTTTCAATGCACCGCTGAAGAGGTCTTACATTTGCTATGTCAGATGGCAAAAGAAGCTTTGTGTTCAGAGGCATCCGTGGTTCCAATTCCTTCAGAGAAGCCTCTGTGCTGCAGGGTCAGAAGACCTGCAGTCTTAAGATCGAATCCACGCGACAGAGGGAGCTCCCATCGCTTGTCCCAGCTCCTGCCAACCTAGCTGTTCAAAAGCATGTAAAAATGCAAGTAGATAAATAGGGACCACCTCAGTGGGAAGGTCACGGCCTTCCGTGTTTAGTCGCGCTGGCCATGTGAACACAGAAACTGTCTTTGGACAAAACGCTGGCTCTATGGCTTGGAAACAGGGATGAGCTAGAGTCCAGCTGTGCCCTAGAGTCAGGCACGACTGGACTAAATGTCAAGGGGAACCTTTCCCTTTCCCTTTACTGACTCTTAAGTGTAATGTCCTGGTTGTGTTGCTTGTAATCTTTCTCAGTGATTTGAGAAAGATTACAAGCTTCTTGTATTACAAGCTTATTTTATAAAGATTATAAAATAAGCCATATTAGGGATGGAAAGAAGTAGAAATTTTAAAACAACCGCCTGTAGGAGAAACCAAATTTTGTTCAGATCCAGGGTTCTCATTGTTTATCTGTTAAGTCCCTATGTATTCCCTGTTTATTCAACTGTGTTCATGCTGGATTCGGGTGTGACACCTTTCTTCCCCCGCCCTCAAGAGGTTTCTCAGCTCTAAGACATATTTGGCACGCAGATGTAACGTGCTGCTCCCCGTGGGTGGGTTTAGGGGACCTTCATGGATCACAAGCTAAACATGACTTAACATTGTGATGTGGTTGCAACCCCTCCCCCAAGGTGGAATGGAGTACTACTCCATTCCACGTTGGCCAGACCTCACCTGGAGAACTCTGCCCTATTGTGGGCACCTACACCTTCAGAAAGGATTTGGAGAAGCTGGGTTTTGTCCACAGGAAAGCAACCAAGATAGGAGAAAGAACTGGAAGCTAAACCTTATGAGAGATGGTTCAGGGAGAAGGATATGCCTGGTTACGGGGGAAAGGAGACTAGGAGGTGGTATGATGACCATCCTCAAATAGAGGAAGGGCGGCCAGATGGAAGATGGAGCACGCTAATTTCCTCTGGCACCAGAGAGAAGGACCCACACTAAGAAAGAAGATTTCAACCAAATACTGGGAAAAACGGTAACGACTGCAGTATCTGCAGGGGATTGGTTCCAATCCCCCTGCGGATGCCAGAAACAGTGGATAAACAGAACAGTTTCTTTGGTGTCCCTGCGGGGTTGAGAGAGGGAGCCCTGATCTAGTCTTGCCAAAGGACTAGGTTTCCTGCCCTCCTTTTCACAAGGCAGGCTTTCCTGAAACCAGCCACTGCTGCCTCCAATCTCCTCTGCCCCACAAATATGTCTTCTCCATTGCACCGGAAGCTGCTTCCAGCTCAGAAATCAGCCCATGAGGGCATTCCTACTAAGCCACCTTTATATGGCAGTCTTTGATTCCATCTAGAGGCCAATCATGGTAATACACCTCAGGAACTTGTATTTCTGGATTTTGCTTTCAGGCAGTGGATAAATGAATCTGCAGGTCCTGATCCTGTGGATACGGTGGCCCTACTGTACTATTCAATGGTAAGTGCTGTTAGACCATGGAATGGATTTCCTTGGAAGGTGGTCACTGTGTTTTACTGGAGGTTTTAAAACAGATGGTAATCTGTCAGGAATACGTTAGCTGTAGATAAGCCGAAAGGACGCTCAGCTGCGGACGCGCCTGGAAGTGAAAGGAAAGTCCGATGCTGCAAAGAGAAATACTGCATAGGAAGCTGGAATGTAAGATCTATGAACCTTGGGAAGGTGGATGGGGTCAAACAGGAGATGGCAAGAATAAACATTGACATCCTGGGTGTCAGTGAACTAAAATGGAGGGGACGACAGAGGACGAGATGGTTGGACAGTGTCATTGAAGCGACCAACATGAATCTGACCCAACTCTGACTCTCAAGGAGGCTTCTCGGCTCTAAGACATATTTGGCACACAGATGTAACGTGCTCCTCCCCGTGGGTGGGTGTAGGGGACCTTCATGGATCAAAAGCTAAACATGACTATTTCCTCCACATGGTGGAAATAGCCATACTCATTGAATTATTGGCAGGGGGCTGGACTCTGTGATCTTTGGGTTTCCTTCAAGCTTTAGAGTTGTATGGTTCCATGGTGGAAATAGCCATACTCATTGAATTTGGCCCCGCAAATGGGGAAGAATCCCATTGGAGTTCATCTTTGAAGAATGCACCCAAAAGGGCACAACTGCTTTGCCACCGGGATCAGAAATAATTTATATATTTTTTTAAAAAAAAAGAATGCAGGAGAAAGCCAAGCAGGTAGGTTTCCCTGGGAAGAGAGTCCCGTGCCTTCGCCAACCATCCACTCTCACTTACCAGCCGGTTGGGTGATATCCGTGGAGGTGGCAAAATCCTCGTCGTAGGATTCATCATTGGATTCATCCCCATCCATGGACGACCAGGCCCTCAGCTTGGCTTCCGCAATGGCAAACTGCTCCGCGACACCTAAGAAGGAGAGACGGCAGTCAACCAGAGGAACAGAGGGGAAAACAGCAGGGCGCAGCCAGCGAGTAAGACCCTGATGTTCCAGAGTGCTGTACGAGAGGCCAAAATGCAAGATATGTGAGTCTTCCCACACATGACAAGTATTGGGGGAAATGTCATCTGCTGGGTTTTTTTGCTGAGACAGGTGTATTGATCTGTCTCAGCACAGGTAACAGAAAATAAAAAGAAAGGGGCTACAGCATCTCAAAAACTACTAGGTTTATTTCAGTGTGAGCTTTTCTGGGTGACAACCCCCCTTCCTAGGGAAATGGATTGCAATCCACACAAGAGCCCTGTAAATAGATTTGCTAGGCTTTCAAGGGCCACGGACTCTTTTCTTTTTATTTTTCTCCTTGCTCTGCTGGGGAGAAGACTGGAGAAGCAGTTAAAAGGAGCGCGATGCATGGAGAAAATGTTTCATTAAAGGTAAATAGAAGATAATTAGGAGACCAGACGCAGACAAGGAGGGTGTTTTTCCCCCTACCTTAAATAGTAGTGTGGAATGAGCAATTTCAGAAAGTGATCCTTAGGTGACAATTTCCTCTTGTACACAAAGGTGGAGAGGGGCTACGTCTTACTTTATATCTAGCCCTAACAGGAAGACCTCTTTTTCTTATAATAATACTAATAATTGTGTGCCATCATGTCAATTCTGATTTATGGTGATTCTTCCCAGGGTTATCTAGGTAGTGAATATTCAGAAGAAATTGACCATTCCGTTCCTCTGGGGGTACTCTAAGACTATGCAGCTTGCCCAGGGCTACACAGGCTGACTCTACTTCTGGAAAGCACTGTCGGGAATTGAACTCCCAAACCCATGCTTAACTTCCTGAACTATCCTGCCAACATTTTGGGGGGCTGGAGAAGAACCTGTTTTGAAAGGCCGGGGGCAAGAATCAGAAAAGAGTCGGCAACCTGCCATTTTTATACTAGGTAAAGGTAAAGGTAAAGGTTCTCCTTGACAATTTTTGTCCAGCCGTGTTCGACTCTAGGGGGCGGTGCTCATCCCCGTTTCCAAGCCATAGAGCCAGCATTTTGTCCGAAGACAATCTTCCGTGGTCACATGGCCAGCGCGACTTAGACACGGAACGCTGTTACCTTCCCACCGAAGTGGTCCCTATTTATCTACTCGCATTTGCATGCTTTCGAACCGCTAGGTTGGCGGGAACTGGGACAAGCGAGGGGAGCTCACTCCGTCGCGTGGATTCGATCTTACGACTGCGTGGTCTTCTGACCCTGCAGCACAGGCTTCTGCGGTTTAGCCTGCAGCGCCACCATGTCCCTAAGCCCCCATAAAAGTGAGACAGTGTGTGGGTCCGTCTTTCATGGGCCGCTCATGATCCATGCAGCTTCTTGTCCTTTTTGACCCTCAGAGATGTGGCTACAGGCACTCCTGCCTTCTGTGCCTGGGCGTGAATACTTGAGGAACAACGGAAAATAGTATGCCTGGCTCCATGCTTTCTCACTGTCCATGTCAGAGAGGTGTGATCCTTTAACCCTCATTCACAGATGCCACCACCCCCTGGGGAAAGATCACAGGCTCATGAATTAATCTGGGCCAGCTGCCAGTTCTCCCAGAGGAAACCCACCCACTCCCAAAAAATTCCACTTTCACAAGTTCATTAATTTTAAATTCATGCACATTTAACTTCGCCCAAGGCGAAGCTGAGATGAGACGAGAGCGGGCATCCGACTGGCAAAATAAACACTGCAGATTACGCCAATGAGCAGAGTTACACATCTATCAGAGTTACACATCTCCTTGCAAGCAAGGGATGGGTTCATCTGTTTAGACCAAGGTCTCTGCCTGGCTAGCAGGAAGGGAAAGCCCAGTCTGAAAAACGCTGTTTGCAAGAAATCAAGTGTAAGGCAAAGAAAGAGAGAGAGCAGGGTGGTGAAGACCTATAGGCAAACAGCTTGCACTGATCGATCAGTCCTTTCACGCTTGAAATAGGAGAGACATTTAATTTCAGGCATGTCCTCTCCTCTCTCTTTTCCACTCTGAATTTTGGCCAGATGGAAACATTACAAACTGCTTCCTTGCTTTCCATGTCCCAGAGCTCGGAAAATGAAGATTCTGGGAAATATAGTCCACACTGTAACTTTTCCAAGCTTGAATCATCCTATAGCTCAGTTTTCTTTCCTTTTGCACAAGCCAAGAATGAAGGTGCATCTCTTCCCACTAGTCCATCCCCACCCAACCGCTCATAGGTTAATTGTTGCCGAATATCAGGAGAAAGTTCTTAACTGTTAGAGCAGTGCGACAATGGAACCAACCACCTTGGGAGGTGGTGAGCATTCAAGAGAAAATTGGATAACTATCTGTCAAATCGGCTTTGATCTGGATTCCTGTATTGAGCAGGGGGTTGGACTCTGTGTCCTTATAGTCCCCTTCCAACTCTATTATTAATCTATGATTCTATGCTGGAGAAGAAGGATGAAACTGGGGCTCTTCCATTAACAAAATGGGTTTTAACTGGTCTAGCTGTAGGCTATACTGGCGTTGTGGGAAAAGGTGAAGGTGAACTGGTGTTGTGGTAAAAGAGAATCCCAAAACATAGTTCCACTGATTCATATGAACAAACTAGTCCTAGTTGTGTTAATCCCTAAGGCGATCAGGTCTTTTGCTAAGTTAACAGCTCTTAATTGCTCATTCAACCAATCCAAAGATATTTTGTGTTACAACAAAATGATTTTGGTGAGTGGTGTGGCCGCCAGGGAACATATCAAGCCCATTCTGTTTAAGTTACATTGGTTACCAGTTGCTGCCCGGGCCCAATTCAAAGTGCTTTTTTTGACATATAAAGCCCTAAACGGCTTGGGCCCTGGATACCTGAAGGACCGCCTCCTTCCATATGAACCTACCTGGCAGTTAAGATCTAGCCAGGGGGCCCTTTTGAAAGAGCCGTCCTTCAAGGAGGTAAGCGGGAGGGCTTGTAGAGAAAGGGCCTTTT